GTTTGACAATCATCATGCTGTTTACACTACCTACTTGTTTGACAATCATCATGCTGTTTACACTACCTACTTGTTTGACAATCATCATGCTGTTTACACTACCTACTTGTTTGACAATCATCATGCTGTTTACACTACCTACTTGTTTGACAATCATCATGCTGTTTACACTACCTACTTGTTTGACAATCATCATGCTGTTTACACTACCTACTTGTTTGTTTGCCAATCATCATGCTGTTTACACTACCTACTTTTTTGACAATCATCTTGTTTGACAATCATCATGCTGTTTACACTACCTACTTGTTTGACAATCATCATGCTGTTTACACTACCTACTTGTTTGACAATCATCATGCTGTTTACACTACCTACTTGTTTGACAATCATCATGCTGTTTACACTACCTACTTGTTTGACAATCATCATGCTGTTTACACTACCTACTTGTTTGACAATCATCATGCTGTTTACACTACCTACTTGTTTGACAATCATCATGCTGTTTACACTACCTACTTGTTTGACAATCATCATGCTGTTTACACTACCTACTTGTTTGACAATCATCATGCTACTTGTTTACAATACCTACTTGTTTGACAATCATCATGCTGTTTACACTACCTACTTGTTTGACAATCATCATGCTGTTTACACTACCTACTTGTTTGACAATCATCATGCTGTTTACACTACCTACTTGTTTGACAATCATCATGCTGTTTACACTACCTACTTGTTTGACAATCATCATGCTGTTTACACTACCTACTTGTTTGACAATCATCATGCTGTTTACACTACCTACTTGTTTGACAATCATCATGCTGTTTACACTACCTACTTGTTTGACAATCATCATGCTGTTTACACTACCTACTTGTTTGACAATCATCATGCATGCTGTTTACACTACCTACTTGTTTGACAATCATCATGCTGTTTACACTACCTACTTGTTTGACAATCATCATGCTGTTTACACTACCTACTTGTTTGACAATCATCATGCTGTTTACACTACCTACTTGTTTGACAATCATCATGCTGTTTACACTACCTACTTGTTTGACAATCATCATCATGCTGTTTACACTACCTACTTGTTTGACAATCATCATGCTGTTTACACTACCTACTTGTTTGACAATCATCATGCTGTTTACACTACCTACTTGTTTGACAATCATCATGCTGTTTACACTACCTACTTGTTTGACAATCATCATGCTGTTTACACTACCTACTTGTTTGACAATCATCATGCTGTTTACACTACCTACTTGTTTGACAATCATCATGCCTACCTACTTGTTTGACAATCATCATGCTGTTTACACTACCTACTTGTTTGACAATCATCATGCTGTTTACACTACCTACTTGTTTGACAATCATCATGCTGTTTACACTACCTACTTGTTTGACAATCATCATGCTGTTTACACTACCTACTTGTTTGACAATCATCATGCTGTTTACACTACCTACTTGTTTGACAATCATCATGCTGTTTACACTACCTACTTGTTTGACAATCATCATGCTGTTTACACTACCTACTTGTTTGACAATCATCATGCTGTTTACACTACCTACTTGTTTGACAATCATCATGCTGTTTACACTACCTACTTGTTTGACAATCATCATGCTGTTTACACTACTACTACTTGTTACCTACTTGTTTGACAATCATCATGCTGTTTACACTACCTACTTGTTTGACAATCATCATGCTGTTTTTACACTACCTACTTGTTTGACAATCATCATGCTGTTTACACTACCTACTTGTTTGACAATCATCATGCTGTTTACACTACCTACTTGTTTGACAATCATCATGCTGTTTACACTACCTACTTGTTTGACAATCATCATGCTGTTTACACTACCTACTTGTTTGACAATCATCATGCTGTTTACATTACCTACTTGTTTGACAATCATCATGCTGTTTACACTACCTACTTGTTTGACAATCATCATGCTGTTTACACTACCTACTTGTTTGACAATCATCATGCTGTTTACACTACCTACTTGTTTGACAATCATCATGCTGTTTACACTACCTACTTGTTTGACAATCATCATGCTGTTTACACTACCTACTTGTTTGACAATCATCATGCTGTTTACACTACCTACTTGTTTGACAATCATCATGCTGTTTACACTACCTACTTGTTTGACAAATCATCATGCTGTTTACACTACAATCTCATGCTGTTTACACTACCTACTTGTTTGACAATCATCATGCTGTTTACACTACCTACTTGTTTGACAATCATCATGCTGTTTACACTACCTACTTGTTTGACAATCATCATGCTGTTTACACTACCTACTTGTTTGACAATCATCATGCTGTTTACACTACCTACTTGTTTGACAATCATCATGCTGTGTTTACACTACCTACTTGTTTGACAATCATCATGCTGTTTACACTACCTACTTGTTTGACAATCATCATGCTGTTTACACTACCTACTTGTTTGACAATCATCATGCTGTTTTACCTACTTACTTTTGACAATCATCATGCTGTTTACACTACCTACTTGTTTGACAATCATCATGCTGTTGTTTACACTACCTACTTGTTTGACAATCATCATGCTGTTTACACCTGCTACTTGTTTGACAATCATACTGTTTACTACCTACTTTGACAATCATCATACTTGTTGTTTCATCATGCTGTTTACACTACTCACTTGTTTGACAATCATCATGCTGTTTACAGTACCTAATACCTACTTGTTTGACAATCATCATGCTGTTTACACTACCTACTTGTTTGACAATCATCATGCTGTTTCATCATGCTGTTTACACTACCTACTTGTTTGACAATCATCATGCTGTTTACACTACCTACTTGTTTGACAATCATCATGCTGTTTACACTACCTACTTGTTTGACAATCATCATGCTGTTTACACTACCTACTTGTTTGACAATCATCATGCTGTTTACACTACCTACTTGTTTGACAATCATCATGCTGTTTACACTACCTACTTGTTTGACAATCATCATGCTGTTTACACTACTACCTACTTGTTTGACAATCATCATGCTGTTTACACTACCTACTTGTTTGACAATCATCATGCTGTTTACACTACCTACTTGTTTGACAATCATCATGCTGTTTACACTACTACCTCACTTGTTTGACAATCATCATGCTGTTTACACTACCTACTTGTTTGACAATCATCATGCTGTTTACACTACCTACTTGTTTGACAATCATCATGCTGTTTACACTACCTACTTGTTTGACAATCATCATGCTGTTTACACTACCTACTTGTTTGACAATCATCATGCTGTTTACACTACCTACTTGTTTGACAATCATCATGCTGTTTACACTACCTACTTGTTTGACAATCATCATGCTGTTTACACTACCTACTTGTTTGACAATCATCATGCTGTTTACACTACCTACTTGTTTGACAATCATCATGCTGTTTACACTACCTACTTGTTTGACAATCATCATGCTGTTTACACTACCTACTTGTTTGACAATCATCATGCTGTTTACACTAATACCTACTTGTTTGACAATCATCATGCTGTTTACACTACCTACTTGTTTGACAATCATCATGCTGTTTACACTACCTACTTGTTTGACAATCATCATGCTGTTTACATATACCTACTTGTTTGACAAGGGGTAATGGGATAGGGAGACCATGGGAATTAGAGAGGGGGGTAATGGGATAGGGAGATGATGGGCATTAGAGAGGGGGTAATGGGATAGGGAGATCATGGGAATTAGAGAGGGAGGTCATGAAAAGGAGAGATCATTGGAAAGAGAAATCGTAGGAAAGGGAGATCATGGGAATTAGAGAGGGAGGTAACGGGAGAGGGAGATCATAGGAAAGGGAGATCGTGGAAATTGGAGAAGGGGGTAATGGGAAAGGGAGATCATTGGGAAGAAAAATCGTGGGAACGGAAGGTCATAGGTATTAGAGATAGTCTTCGTGGACAGAAGACATCCTGGGAAACGGAGATCATGGGAATTAGAGAGGGAGGTCACGGGAAAGGGCCATCATGGGAATTAGAGAGGGAGGTAATTGGACAGGGAAATCATGGGAATTAGAGAGGGAGGTCATGGGAATTAGGGAGGGAGGTCATGGGAATTAGGGAGGGAGGTCAAGTGGAAATTAGAGAGGAGGTCAGGGAATTAGGAGGGAGGTCATGGGAATTAGGGAGGGAGGTCATGCGGGAATTAGGAGGGAGGGAGGTCAGGAATTAGGGTGGAGGTCATGGGAATTAGGAGGGAGTGGGGAGGTCAGGGAATTGGGAGGTCATGGAGAGGAGGTCATGGGAATTAAGGAGGGAGGTCATGGGAATTAGGAGGGAAGTCAGCGGGAATTAGAGAGGAAGTCAGGGAATTAGGGGGAGGTCATGGGGAAACTTTATATTTACGCTGCATAAACGTTTGATTCGACTGACGAGTTTTCCAGCTACGGAACAACCGAATCACTGTCACAGTGTTCGGGATAGCCCACACTACGTCCAGACGGACTTTCTCTAGACTCACAGAATGCAAGCAAAACAGTTGGAATTAATGTCACGTGAATTCACACAAACTCTGGAAAGACGTTTTATAAATATTTGTATTAAACTCCTCCACCACCTACCTCCTCGTAACTCCTGCTTCTTCGTCTACTACAACTGCTACTACTACTACTGTTGCTATTGCCACAACTGCTGCTGTTACTACAGCTACTACTGCTGCTACTTCCACTACTACTGCTGTGACTACCACCACTACTACTTCTGCCACTACTAATCCTGCTGTTGCTTCTGCAACTGTTACATCGAATGACCTTGAAACGTCGGTATAAGCGAATGCTTGATTAGTGGCGCGCTGCAACAAACGTGTGTAACTACGAGTAATTTTACCTCAAATGAGCTTGTATACTTCAGTGGATAAAGGAGGGGAACGTACAGCACTGCAGACACAACAATGGCTATAGTTAAGCCGAACGTGTCTAGGTAGTACTGCGTCCCTTCTCGGTACATCTCGGCTGGAGTTCCCAGAATCAAGATGGCGGACATGAAGGACACTAGGATGGAAATGGCGAGGGGTACAGTCTTCATCTGTCTTCCACCCATGAGAAATTCCCCCGTTGTGTTTTGCTTGTGTCCGAAAAATGCATGGAAAATTCCAATTCCTGCAGACACGAGCAGCACCAGAGCAAAAACCACGTAATCACCAGCACCAAACACCATTTCCTGAGATGCCATGGTGACTGTCGGCGTTATTCAACAGATACAACTAAATGTATTCTGATACGATTGTGATGCTGGCTTTCAGTACACCATCTACAATAGTATACAGTGGGTAGGAGACCCCGGATGTGGTCACGTGATGCAGCTGTAATATGGAGGATGCGAGCAGGCTTCACGTGTCTGTACGTGTACGTGACACGCCGTCATGCACAAGTTCCTCTAAATTATTATATACTTTTTAATTGACACGCACATCTGGATATAATGAGATTGTTGATTTGATTATGGTGATCTATGCATGTGACCGACTATAAGTCGGAAATTTGATACCAGAAAATGTAGGCAAAAAATCAGACCCGACTTATACTTGAGTTCATTAATCTACCCAAAAAATTCCAGAGGTCAGGTGTGTGAATCTGCCAGCCCTGCGAACTCAACTGGCAATGTTTACACCGGCAGCAGGAAGCATATACGTACTGACAACGATTCCAAAGGTAAATGACATCGTGGGACAAATAAAACATAAAATATAAACTTTGTTGTTTGTCTTTTGTAAAATATATTTCATAGTATAAACAATAAATAAAATTTAATCAGATATTTTTATCACAGCTATGAACTTACCGGTACTTTGTTATCGAGCGATAAAGTTGGGCCACGTGACACGACTTGACACGACTTGTTTCACTTAAAGTAAACTTATTTGTATTCTGTGGCAGTTTTGTGTGGTGGTTTTGAAAAAATACTGTTAATGATTTAATAAATGCGGTACTACAGATGATATTAATCAAGAAATTACATCGAAGTCAAAAATCTGTGTCACTCGATCAGTCTCGGTAAATGAACCAGGACAGTAGCGTTCGCTCAATGCATCCCACACATTGCGTGTTCCCAACTGAACAGTTTTTGATACAAAAATATCATTTTGAAGCACATTTACAGAAATATTTACACATCGTAATTTTCACAGCAAACATATTTGACATGTCATAACATTCCCGTGACATTTTCTTTTATATTTTCATTTTTACGTAATCAGAAAATTATTATAAAACGATTTCTTAAATAATATGTATGGTCGCCTATTTCCCGATATCAGAGGCTTTTCGCTCGGTAACATGACACAACAACGGAAAATACCTCCGTTTTCGAAGCTTCGTATGAATAACATGCGAGGCGAATCGTTTGATGTCGGGCATCGTTCGAAAGCTCTGAACATCAACAATATCACTGTACCCTTGCCGAGAGTATTTTCACACCTGTAAGAAGCGATTTTATCGGATAAAAATTGGTTTCTAATGACGCTTTTTCGATACAGTCTGCCATAAGGGTCGTGATTGGTCAAAACCAGACACGTGACCTAAGGCAGCCAATCATATTACGGCAATGGATACCGTCCTCGTAAACGAAAACCTTTAGATTTAGACGAAAGTTTTGGGTAAAATAATGCTATTCTGAACATATTAAGCAAGAAATCGCTACCTATTCGTAAATTATGGGGATTTATTTGACGTATCGTGCTAGGTTATGACCTGTGACAAAAATGCTTCATGCATATATTTTCGCATTTAAACATCGTGTCCGAGCGTAAAGATTGAAGCGGCGATACCGATACGTACGGGGAAAGGGGCTGACTTATACTTGAGTTACATGGTTTTGGCAAGAATTTAGAGGGTTGAGAAAGGGGCCCGACTTATAGTCAGATCCGACTTATAGTCGGTCATATACGGTATTTTTGATAATTATCTTAAAAGATCTGAAAGAAGTTATGACAAGCATAACAAAAAAGTTCAATGTCAGTCAACATTTTGTCACAGAATGAGGAATGTCGAGACTAATGTTGCCAATAGCAACATCTCCATTGACGTGTTCAAGTTGGAGAGCCCAAGCCTTCAGGTTCACGTCATTTCACGTATATTAGAGAACCAGTGAGTGAGTGAGTTTAGCTTTCCGCCGCACTCAGCAACATTCCAGCTATATGGCGGCAGTCTGTAAATAATCGAGTCTGGACCAGACAATCCAGTGATCACCAGCATTAACATGGATCTACGCAATTTGGAACAGATGACATGTGTCAACAAAGTCAGCGAGTCTGCCCACCCGATCCCGTTAGTCGCCTCCCGTTAGTATAAGCATGGGTTGCTGGAGACCAACACTAACCCGGATCTTCACTGGTTCAAACGTTTAAAGGTCACATGCAACGTAAAACACAACTTTGCAGATTCTGATACCTTTCGGTATGGACTTACCGAAACAAAGCGTCAAAATGCAAATTCAACTTATAAAGTTGAAAAATAACGCGATGAAAAATAACGCGCGAAATCCGATTTCAAACGTTTCACTAATTTTCCCCGACTTTTCTGGGAAAACGGGTTTCAACAGCTGGGCTGCGCTAGCACGATGCGCAGTGAAATAGGTTCGCGCAGCTTGGAAGCGGGTTGTCCGATGAATACTCGGTGAAGGCTTTGGTGTGAGCTATTTTCTAATGTTTTGTTGATATCTCACAGGCGCGAGCTTTTATATGTTATGACAGTAAATTAACTGTTTATATAATTTCATTTGTCTATTTCACCACACGTTCTTCTTACCCAGTCACTTTCTCAGTTCGATACTTAAAAGCAATGTCATTATTTAGCGTTGACAGAATTTCTAACTGTGATATAGATATGTCGTTGTCACAGACAAAACTCAATGTCTTGTTTTATTGACACCTGTGTGTCTGCCTGCCTGTCTGCTAATGACAATATTCAATACACAGCTGCTATCACTGACCACATGCAATTTGAACTTAACACCAATCAGGCTATACACCATAAACAAAACGCATTGATTTATGGCCCGAGTTCGGTCTCTGTCACATTATGTAATTACACAGACAGGTAGGTGTGATACTTGAACACATGACATGTTATGATGTCTGTTGATTGCAAAATGTTATACACACAAAAAATGAGCATGCATTTACAAAACCCAACATCTCTGTATATACACACACAATGAGCCGTGAGAGCATCTGCAAATGAACCAGCCGTTACACTTGAGTGCACACCCACCCGCTCTGACTGGGTTCGGTATCCCGGCTGCTTCGTTTCTTGGGAAGTAAACCGAAGTACACAATATTGCACTTTTGATTTGCGATTGTACGCTTATAATTTTGTTTATATGTTTTTTCATAACCAACAATGTATATTATATGTCATGAATAAGTGATAATTGTGTTTTAATTATGTTTGATTTTTTTGTTGCATGTGACAGCACCGGCGACTTTGGTTCTTTTTCCAAAGTCGAGGTGGAAGGCGACGTGTTTACCAACATCGGGCGTTTGGCATAGAACTGCATTCGATAGTCAGTGGCGTCGGTGAGATGGCCTTGGAAGTCGCCAACACAAGTGATAATGAGGTCACCTATATGACGCTGAACGCCACGCGGTTGGGACATGCTCTAAGCGCAACGTAAAGGACATTATTTCCCTGAAACTGCTGAAAACGTTAAAACGAGGCAACAAATACAGACTGTAGAGGTTTACAAATAATGAACCAATATGTTCAACACAATATGCTCACTCAAGCAGAAGCACCTGATGTTGAAAGCGTTTTTCTTGTATAACAATCCAATTCTTATGATATCGACGTGTTATGATCATTATTGAAACCTGTTTATTCAAGTCTTTTCACTGAGGTGTTCTGCCTGTTGGAGCGTACCGGGCTCTAGGCAGCAATTCCCATTTAGGGTAATGAATGTTCTAATTTGAGTCGAAAAAGCAAATATACTGAGTCAAAATATAAACTTCACAATTCATATTTGTAAATAGAAATATGAATTGTTATAGCAGACAGTTTTCAGTTATCATAATACTAATCCCCAAGTATCGACTCAAGAAAAAAATCATCACAGCACAGTTAAGTCAATCCAAACACCGTGCACCCCGCAATAGTGCTAAAACGTGTTTTTTTCACGTTTTCCACTTGTCACGTGATCTTATCATTGCACGTGCATTCGATCGCTTTTATGTTTCCATCAATCATACAAAAAGCGAAAAACACTTCATGTTTCAGGAGCACTATTCAGAACGGCCAATTCTTATGCCGCAAAATGTGCAGCGTGAACGTGCCGTCGGCATGCTGGAAGCGGAAAAGTCAGTAAGACTAGTGACGTGGCCACGACAATGGGGTGCAGCCGCCTGACGTTTATGATTTACAGACTCGACTGCAGCAAGCTGGCAAACAGGCACCTCTGCTGATCGCCCTAGGCCAGGTGACGTCACAGGTGGAGGACCGTCAAATTCAGGTTACCTCACCTCCGTAACCGTTTTTGATGGCTACATGAATCAGAAATGAGCTGTTTAGGGGTCGATTGTGGGACAAACCATCCGAGCTGCACACCTTTGAGTTTGACGACCATATCACGGAACCATTTTGACGCCATTACATCGATGTCAGCGTTTGCTGTGAGGCAGACGGACACCACCGATGCACTCAGAGTGACTGGAATCGAGTTGTCTTTAGTGATGAATCAAGATTTACCCTCAGATTCACTGATGGTAGGATGAGAGTGTGGAGGCGACGACGTGAACGGTATGCTCAGTTCTGTGTACAGGAAGTTGACAGATTTGGGGGCGCATGTGTCATGGTTTGGGGTGCTTTTTGTGGAATTGAAGGTTCTGGGAACCTTAGTGCTGTAGGTTTACGCGACCAGCCGATAGCCCCTGAACTTACTCCATTCAAGGCAGCACATGTCCAATTCTGTGAAAGTGTTGCCAACATGCCAGACCCCATACAGCCATCTTCATCAGGAATTACCTGCAGAACGCAGGAATCGACGTTCTTGACTAGCCGTCAAGGTCACCTGATTTCAAACCAATCGAGCACATCTGGGAAGCTCTTTGTAAACGTATGCGCACTCTCAGGAACCAACCCCAGGGGCGGTACTCTTAAAAGGACTTCAGTCTAAAAAATGACTTAAGTTCCCAATAAAAGCTTAAGTTTTGACTTAAGACTTATGTTTTTTTAGTCATA